TTCTTGTCGGCACTGTTGATGCTGTGAATGTGAACCTAGATGCCTTGCAAAAGATTGAGAGGTTCTTGCCCCAACCAGGTATTGAAAAAATTGTAATGGGTCGATACCGTTCCCCTAAGAAGACACCGTATTAGAGGACCCTTTTTTTGTCATCTGGGTTCTCCCCATTAACATTTAGTAACTTCACGGAATCACAGGCTGAGTGTGTGGTGAAGAGGACTCTGGTTAGGGGATTCCATGCCGAGAAGAGGCAGTCTTCTCTCCTTCTGTGCTGGCAGCAAAAGGAGCTCATCTCGGCGTCAGCATGGAGGTGCTGAGGAGTAGAGGTGTCTTTGATCACAAAATTCATCCCTGTAGTCAAGAAGTTGCACTCATAAGTTATGACTTACTGCTTTAGTATCTGACATTTTTGAATCTTCTTGATTCTCCCCATTATCATCCAAGCATTTAGCCTTTGTATTTTTCCACCCAACCATAAAACATCAATATCAGTTTCAGAGAAATTCAGAATTTCTCTGGAGATAAATTCGGAAGTCAGAGAATTTTGGTTAAAACACATTATAAAAACACATTTGATAAATTCCGAAGTCAGAGAAATTTCGTTAAAACACATTCCGAAGTCAGAGAAATTTAAAATTTCTCTGAAGATTAATCCAGAATTTCTCTGGAGAGAAATTCCGAAATCCAGAGAAATTTCCAGAATTTCTCTGGAGAGAAATTTCTCTGGACCAATTTTCTCTAGATCAATTTTCTCTGGATCAACTTGAGGGACCTTAGACATTATGAAAATATTGAGTGTCCTTTATGCTGTAAAATCTTAATATCAGGGACCTTAAAAAAAATTCCCCTTATTTTTTTAGTACTTTTTATTTTTTACAAAACTTAAAAAGTGATGTGTTTGGTAATTATTATTTTTTTTATTATAGAAAAAGTTTTGTAGGTCTTTTTAAATTTTTATTTTTTGATAAGAAATTATCGTAATGCGCTGCTGTAAAATCCGTGTTATCATAACCAAAAGAAAATGATGAGATTTCTTAAACTGCTAAAGGTAAAATCGTCTTTACACAAATCTGCAGGGATTTTAACCACAAAAAAAAAAAAAAAACTAATATGGAAAAGTTACTTATTTAGCCGAAAAAAAAATAGGCTTTTACTTGTCATTTTTAGTCAAAATACTTATTTAAAGATTGTCAAACAGAACCTTAGATATTAACCATTTAACAATTTTCTTCTCTTACCCATCATTTCAGTTAAATTTAAACTTAAAAGAAGTAAGCATTTGGACTCTTCCAAAAAATTTATAATCTTATCTCGATTCTTTTAAAATCTAAATAATTTTATCTTGACCTTACAAACTTCCTAAAAATCTCATAGCCCAATACAATATTAAATATTTATAAAAGAAATTAACATTTTGATCCTCTAAAATCTATATATAATCTCATTTTGTTATCATCTGGTTTTCAAACTCAAAAGCGGTTTTTGAGTTTATTGTTTTTCATATTCTTTTGTTGTTAGCCAAAAAATAAAATAAAATAAAATAATTATTAAATATTTTAACCTAATATTTTTACTTTTCAAATGCATTTAATCTAAATGCACCTAAAACATAAAATATTTTTTTTACTTTTCAAATGCATTTAATCTAAATGCACCTAAAACATAAAATATTTAAGTATATTTAAAAAGTAAAACTTATTGATTAAAAATATGAAGAAAAAAAAATTTACTGAAAACAACAAAAAAAAAAAAAATTAAAAACAAAGAACTCAAAAATATTTTCAAAAGGTACAACAAAAGTTCCCTTTTTACAATTTTTTTGGCCCACCTCTGGTTCTTACCATTAAGGCCCAACTCCAATTATCTAACTTTTGTAAGTTTCTGCAGTTGTGGGCCCAGGGCTTAAACCAATAAACTGGGCCTGATCATGACTAATTAGGAGAGGGTGATCATGTACTAATAATACATCATTTTCATAAGATCACGCATCTGCATTATTAAGATTATTAAATGACATTAATCATTGAGATTACTGTCGAAAGAGCCGTCCTTCGGTTCATTAACTCATCATAATCATGTTATTAAAAGGTGTTTTGGAAAGTAGGTTAAAATGTAGTTTTTTTACCTTTTTTTTTTTTTTTTTGAAAAAATGTATAAAAAAGCAGAGAAATGATGTGACTCAAAAAAATCAAAAAGTCAAAAAAATAACTTTTAACCAACTTGTCAAAATAGGCCTCTTTTATGAGTCGATAGACAATTTGTTTTAAAGTTTATGACTAATCATGATGTTGGTATTGATTGACATTGAGTGATTTTAGGCTTTTAGCTCTTGTGAGTTGGAAGAGCTGCCCTTCAATTCATTAACTGTAATAGCGTAATTAAGCATCCAAACATAATTTTCTGTGATGTGTCAATGAACAATTTAATTTTAATTTCTTGACTAATTATTATGATGTTAGTTCATGACACCGATGTCGATGGGCTCTTAACATTCTGTGATTTTAGGCTTTTAGCAAACCATGATGTTGGGACTCGGAAGAGCTGCCCTTCAGTTCATTAACCGATAATCATGCCATCAAGCATCTAAACATTTTCTTTTGTGAGGCGGCTATCAATTTGATTTTAGGATTTTGGTAAAACATGATCTTATTGTTTGAAATGGTTTATTTGGTCCAATTTATAAGAGTTGTTTATAATCTCTTTTTTTATATATATATGTATAAAGTTTGTGTTAGAATTTTGATACAGTTTCTACTATAGTTTATAAGGCAAAAAGAAAAAGAAATAATTTTTGAAAATTTGAGGGAGGCATGTCTTTAACTTCTATTTTCTGAATTTTAGTTTTCAAACCCGAGCTGATGGGCCATTTAAAGTTCTCTATTTTAATATCTCATTAGTGCTTAATTATATGTATAGATAAACATAATTGGCCTATCAAGTTTCAAGTCTCTATACAGAGGGTACAGATAACACCTTGGATATTAGCCTTTTAGTTTTGTTCTTAAAGTGGGCCTTGTCATGGGGCTTCAATCATGGGCCAAAGCAAACAACATATAAGCCCAAATCTGTTTTAATCCCTACATTAGAATCATACATTACAAGCATCAAATATATGAAGCAAGAATCCCTTTTTGAAAAACACTCACTTATCCAGCGTGACGTTCATATTCGAGTTTCATTCTCCTATTTCCCTCCTATCAAAGCAAGAGCAATGGATGATATATGACCTTTGTTGTTTTGGAAAAGATGATATGTTGGTAATAAGTAATCTCTAAGGATTATATAATATTGTTCATGTGATATTTCTAATTAATAATGTAACAAAAAAATTTACAAGTGAATATTGTTGATCAACATTTGCTAAGTTGTTAAATAGATAAGAGTCGCCCACTTAATGTGATTAACAGTTTCTCATTTACCAAGAACACTATATAAACAATATCACGTAATACTCTGTCATTACCTAATAATTTTCCCTATTCATGCATGGCGACTCTTGTGAATTCCAAAAGTTAGGGATAGCATAAATGATAGCACTTTTTTTATTGGGTAAATTACATTGACCTCTCATAAGCTTTAGAGAAAAAACAGTAAATTTTATAATTTTAACATAATTATAATAGACTTTCTTTTCTTAATGTATTAATCCACATAATACTTAGTATCATTTTCATCAATAATTTTTTAGTCACATGCATTGGCACAATTAGAAATTCATCTTAGAGGAAACATACATTAATTACAATATTAAAAATAAAAAACGGTGCTGCGATATACACCAATTTGTGTGCTAACTAGTATACCAACTAGTGTTATGCCATTATTACTGACCCCACTTATTAATTAAATTACAAATATCCAAAACTTCTAAAATTATGTCACATCATTTGTTAGTATACTAATTGATACATATAGTATTTTTCAAAAAAAAGGTTCTCCCATAACAAAAAACAACGAAATATTATTAAACTTATATATTTCTTTTATCAAATATTACAATTATCATGGGATTTACATTTGACTTATAGATTCACTATCAACAACTAAAATTTATTAACCTAGCAGTAGGGACAAACAAACAATTGAATTTACAATCAACAAATCTAATCATATCAACTTAATAGAGAGTCCCACAACAGAGAGAAATAATCAATCATAGTGAGAAAAAAATTATCCATTGATTCAATTCTTACTTTCACTTGTCAATTAAGAGTGCATACAAGAATGGTCAAAAGAATAAATAGAGAATTTTCAAAAGGTTAAAAATGTGAGTTTTACATAGCACTATTACAATTTTATAAGAGATAAATAATACATATGTAACGGTATAAGTAGAAAAAATTGAAGGAGGCACGTGACCCCCTAGGCCTAAGGTAGCTCCGTCCCTAGTCATATGGATAGAAAAAGAAAATTATCATTTATTTCATATTGAAATGTATATATTTTATTGTTTATCCTTTTGTGTTCACACCATTTGTATTATTTTAAATCCCTACAACATTACCAAAAAGAATGTTAGTGTAATAATGCCAAAATTATGGATTTTTTTTTTGTTTTTTTTCTGAATCTTAAGAAGAAGTCAGCGTAATTCATATTTTTTATTTTAATTTGGGAAAGACTATGATACATGTTATGCATCATATAATTAAAGAAGAAAATGACATAATTCTATACTTTTTGAGTTATAATTTAAATAATAAAAAAAATTCATAACCAAACACTACATAAGACATAATTAAAAATTTCAAAATAATATTATAGTTAAAAAAAAATCATTATATTAAAAAATAAAATAGCATAATTAAAAGTGCGTGTAGAATTCTCCTTTTAATTTTGACTTGGGCTGGATAAAAAATGTCTATATATGGGCTGGATCAAGTCAGCCTGGGTAGCTGCTAATTTGATTGGGTCGACTCTCTAGTTCTGATTGGAAATCGCATGCCCATCACTACTTTTTTGGAAGCTCGGCTCGTTTAAAAGAACAAAAAATTTTAATCAAGCTTAAACTTAAGTTCGGCTCCACACACACACACACACACCAACGAGCGCGATCACTCAAAGCCACTCACTCACTCACTCAGAATTTGCGCCGCATTTGATCGTCGCAACCTCTTTCTCACCGCCGCCTCCACCGCCCCCGGCGACCTTCAGAGGAGAGAAGAGAGAGAAAAATGCAGAGTCTTGCTGTTCCATAATCGCCGATCGGTCGCCGGAAAAGCTTGATCGACCTCGATCTTCGAAGCAGTGCTCCGGCGTTTGACTTGACTGACTGACTGAGCTTCTTTGGAAGGTTTATTGATGGCTTCGGAGGACGTGAAGAGCGGGGAATCTGCGGTTTCGACGATCGTAAATCTGGCTGAAGAAGCTAAGCTCGCGAGAGAAGGGGTTGGGGCTCCGAGTTTTGCTGTTCTTAGTATCTGCAAGTCTCTCGTTGCCGGAGGAGTCGCCGGAGGACTGTGAGCTTTTATTTTGTTTTTGTTTTTGTTTTTATTTTTTATTTTTATACTAAATTTTTTATTTCTCACAGGGAAAATGAATTGTTTGGTGATCTGCGTGGTTAATGAGGAAATTTAGGGATGGAGTGTAATTGAAACAACATAAAAGAGATTTCATAACGCTAATCTGAATCTGCATTTGCAAAGAATTTTTCAATGCTTAAACCACAAATAAACATAAACAAAGTGCAGACATAAGGATGAAAAAAATATATAAGCATGGGTAATCCTGGAATGTTGCCATAATCGTATTGGGTACTTACTGGGTACTGGTTCTAATACCGATAAGATTGCATGTATTCCGGGTATTGGTGCTCGTACCTCTAAAACTGCATGTATATCAGTATTTGAAATACGTATCGGATACTTTTTATACATGCTTTGGCAATTGGGTACTCCATGGATACTTAATGGGTGCATCCGTATACCAAATTATGGAACATTGGTGGAGATACCTTTAATGTATTAGAGAGTTATTATTTACTTGATGTGCTAGAGATGTAAGATGTATTATTCAATGATGAAGTTGATAAAAGTGAAAATTAAAGCGTCAAGTTTTTTAATTTTGCTTAGTTTGCTTTTGAAATAAAGCTTTGTTTTGTAATTTTATCTATTTAATGGTATTAAAATAGCTTATAGACTTTATTTTGATATTGTTATTGTTGAATTATGATTTTTTTTTTTTGTTGGTGGAGATACCTTTATGGCATGTTTGATTGGAAGGATTAAAGTATAGGATTGAGATTATTAATCCGTGGGCCCAATCATCCTATGTTTGTTTTGACATTTTAGTTTAGGATTATTAATCCAATGGATAATTAATCCAACAAATTTGTAGGATTATTAGTAATGGGGTAGGGGTGGGATAACTAATACCACACTAATTTAATAGGATTATTAATACCTCACTATTAGTGTTGTGAATCAAACATGGCCTTAATGTATTAGAGAGTTATTATTTACTTGATGTGCTAGAGATGTAAGATGTATTATTCAATGATAAAGTTGATAAAAGTGAAAATTAAAGCGTCAAGTTTTTTAATTTTGCTTAGTTTGCTTTTGAAATAAAGCTTTGTTTTGTAATTTTATCTATTTAATGGTATTAAAATAGCTTATAGACTTTATTTTGATATTGTTATTGTTGAATTATGATTTTTTTTTTTTGTAATTTTTCCTTTTAGTTTTGATATTGAACTTTGATTTGTAGATTGAATTTCAAATTATAAATTATAAAAAATAAAAAATTTATCGGCATACCCCAGTCGTATCTGTATTCTATTTTTTTTAGATCTTGCCATATTGACGTACCCGTACCCGTATTTGTACCCACACCCGTGCTTCATAGGCACTAGAGTAAGGAAAATGTTGAAGAACCCCAAAGAATTATCAAAATTTCTACTAAATATCTCACATAGTTGTGTACCCACACCATGTTCAGCTTATAGAGGAAAAATGATGACTTGCTGTTAAGGAAATTTCAAAACTTTCTAAATCCTACATATATATATATAATAGCGGTTTGTACACACGATGCGTGTGCAACTCGAAGAAAATAATATTACATGAATGATAACAAAGAAAATGCACATATTGTATGTGTTGGTCAAGTAGTAAGAACTTCTTTTATTAAACCCATAGTCATGGGTTCGAGGCCCTTCCTCCTCTTCACATAATTTTTACAAAACACCAAATATAGGGATATTTTAGGAAAATCAAAAATATGATACACATATGTGTCAATACCACCAGCATCTTTCACTTTATAATAGTATAAAAGATAGATAGATAGATATACACTAGGGGTAGACCCATATGGGTGTGCAGTTACAGAATTCATTAGTTTGTGGATGTGTGGTTACAGAAGAAGTTTTGCGATTAGAAAAGGTAACTGCCCTTGGGGTATTATCGGAAATAGAAATCTGTGACATCAACACCAATTCCAACATTTGCTTTATCGATGTATAGTGTAGTATAGTATAGTATAGTGTAGATAGAAGATAGTGTAGATAGATAGAAGATAGTATAGATATATGTTTGCTTTTATTAGTTTTTAAGCAACCAAACAGAGCACAAGGCTTCATATCTGTTGATCATTAGTAAGGTATAAGAGTCAAGACTCAGAGAAATACAATCATCGTTCCTTGGCTACTTTCTTTGCAAAAGAGAAAAAGAAAAAAGAAAGAAGAAAAGCAAAATAGGCATAGAGTTTGCTTCTTTCTGATGTTTTTTAGAATAATTAATCTGGATATATTTTTCCCCTTGAAAAACTAGAAGGTCGATTCATGGTTGTGTAATACATATATATTGTGGTTAAAGCTGGTTGGCTATTCTTTTTGCCAATTTATGTTGGGGTTGTTTTCTGGGTGTGTTGTTGCATATTTATGATCTCATTCGTGGTTTGTGTTGTAAATTATAGATTTCCTTAGGTTAAATTATGCCAACAGTTAGGTTTGTACCCAATCTACTTCTCCAAGATCCCCATCGAACGAGGACTGAACTGGATGTGGATTTTTTACTTCCTGTGGTTGCTGAAAAGATTGTCTTGACCTCTGTTTGGCACTTAATTGAGGAAGCTGAAAATTGACTACATAATTTCTATTGGAAGATGCATGTTTTGCTCAAGAAACGTACCTATAAAGAGTGCACAAGACTCCAACAAACACATGAAAGAAATATACCTCTAGCTTCAAGGGTAACGTCAATAAAGGCCTAGACCATAACCAAGAGCCTTTGTCACAACAAAATATGAAACAAACCTCTCGTAACCTGAGAGGTTAGGAATGCTATGTGACATTGCCACCTTCACTTTGCATGTGCTTAGGAAAGTTTTGATCTTTGATTGGAGTTTTGGGCTTGGTAGAATATTGGAAAAATTCTTATCTTGAGCTTTAAGAAGTTGATTGTACATTTCATGGTTTCTAGTTAATAGGTTTTGTCTTTGTGGTTTTGCCACGTTAATCCGCCATTTATTTTCTACATGTGTATTGTAGGTCACGCACTGCTGTAGCTCCATTGGAACGGTTGAAAATATTGCTTCAGGTGATTCCCCCCACCCAAAGCCCTTTTAAAGATTTTCATTTCCTTTTTCTGTTGAACACCTATGCTCATGCATACTCATGGTCAAAGCTTTGGTATAGTCTTGTATTTTCCATTCCACCATATGAAAACAAATTAAACTATGCAGTAGTGTACACTGATAGTGATGTTATTGAGAATGCTTCACTTCACTTGACAATAGTAAAGTGATATCTCTGTTTGGTGGTTTTATACTCAAGAGTAGTAGAGTGATATCTCCCCGATTGTTGCATTTTGAGTGTTAAGGTGAACAAACCTCGAGAAATTTTGCATGAAAGACAGACTTGTTTTAGCCATTCTGTCTCAAATCAATTTGGGTTTATGCCTGGTAAGTCAACAATGGAAGTGATCTATCTTTTGAGGAGAGTAATAGAAAAGTATAGAGAAAAGAAAAGAGACATTCATATGATTTTTACCGATCTTGAGAAAGTATATGATAGAGTGTCTCGAGATATAATCTGTTAGAGAAGAAAAGGGTGACAAAAGGTTACATTAATGTGATTAGAGATATGTATGAAGGTGTAGTGATTACTATTAGATCGCCTGCTAGAGAGATGAGTAAATTTCCAATTACTGTAGGGTTACACCAAGGATCAACCTTAAGTCTTTATCTTTTCGCTTTAGTTATAAATGAGTTGACACGTAATATTTAGGATGATGTGCCATAGTGTATGCATTTTGCAGATGATATCGTGTTAATGGATGAGATTAGAGAAGGAGTTAATACTAAGTTGGAGATTTAGAAAAAAACACTTGAATCTAAAGGATTTAGGATAAGCAGAACTAAGACTGAGTATATGAAATGTAATTTTAGTAACAGTCACAATGGAAGCAGAGGAGAAGTGAAGATTGAGAATCAACAACTACCTAAGAGTGAACATTTTTGTTATTTAGGATCGATTATCTCAACGACTGGGAGGATTGGAGCGAATGTGGTCCATAGAATTAAGGCGGGGTGACTTAAGTGGGGGAGTGCATCTGGGGTACTGTGCGATAAACGAGTATCCATTAGACTAAAAGGGAAGTTCTATAAAACGGCTATTAGACCAGCAATGTTGTATGGGACGGAATGTTGGGCAACTAAGAAACATGTAAATAAGATGAGTGTTGCTAAGATGAGGGTGTTAAGGTGGATGTGTGGCAAAACTAGAAAAGACAGAGTTAGGAATGAGTATATTCGAGAATGAGTAGGAGTAGTACTAATAGATGATAAATTGAGAGAGAATAGATTGAGATGGTTTGGTTATATACAACAAAGACCAATAGAGACAATAGTGAAGAAATACGATACAGTGATGGTAGATAGTAATGTTAGGGGAAAGGGTAGATTTAGATTGACGTGGACTAGTATAGTAAATAGATATATGAATCTTCTTAATTTGACTAATAAAATGGCTTTGGATAGAGACGAGCGGAGAAGAAGGATTTATACAGCCGACTCCATTTGATGAGACTTAGGTTTGGTTTGGTATACTATTCAACATTTATCTAGAGCCATATTATTTTACAAATTATAAGTTTTCATTTTGTTTCCATCAGCATCAATATTTTTAAATTTTATTTTTCCTAAATACATTTCTTTTGGTACGGTTAATGTTGCACATCCATGACAATGCAGTAATTGGTTTTTGATTATCATAGACAAACTGTCTTAAACGAGTCCCTTCAGATTCAATAAGTTGGTACTACCTTGAGTTTATCACAAATGCCTTTGTATCACAGAGATGCATACTCTCTCTGTGCACATGTGCTTCTTGGCTCATCAGATGCAGGAATTACATTTTAAATGATTTTGAAATTTAAATTGAACTTCATTTTTCTTTTGAAGGATCACATTTTATGTATGACAAGACTATTGACAATTTTTATTTGTATGTATGCATTCCAAACATTGTTTTATACACATGTACTTACTATATTTTTTGCTTTAATTAATTCTTGTAATGTGCAGGTACAAAACCCGCATAATATAAAGTACAATGGTACTGTTCAAGGCCTGAAGTATATATGGAGAACTGAGGGCTTCAGAGGATTATTTAAAGGCAATGGTACTAATTGTGCGCGTATTGTTCCAAATTCAGCAGTCAAGTTCTTCAGCTATGAGCAAGCTTCTAAGTATGATGGTTTCTACTTCCGGTTGCTTCACAAATATAAAAGCGCATTGATTGGATTTCTAGTGTTGGATGTTCTTCTTTGGTTTTGAATTTTTCTCTTTTTTTTTCATTTTTAATTTGACAAGAGATTCCAAAATTTAATTTTAAATGGTACTTACTGTGTTTGTGGAACATGTTTTGTTTAATGAATTTAATTTTTTTGGTTTTGGCTTTGATGAGTTTTATGTGTGTGTATATATGTATGTATGTATTCATGCTAAATGGCTATATTCAAGTCTTCTATTGATTTACTGGGCTAACTTTTCTGCGTATTAGCTATCTAGGTTATGTGCAGCAACCTACTATTACTAAATTAGTTGCAGTGCAAAGTTTGTCTAATACTTATGAGGAGAGAAAAGATGGTTTGAATTGATCACTTCTTTGCATTGGAAATTAGTAGTTTGGTGAGAAGGCGAACCGAGAGGGAATGGTAAATTCTATATTAAATAGATTTTGGAATCTGAGGCATCTATAAAATTGTTTAGTCGTTACCATTATCTTCTCCCCTTATTGATGCCTTCGTGGCACGTTTGTTTTGCTGGTGTGGAAGGTTAGGGGTGGGAATTTCATTCTATTTTCTGTCCATACCAGAGCTCAAGACATGATTCTAGTGGCACATAGAAATGTGGCGAGTGCAGAATTGAAGTACCTCTGAAACATGGGTATCTTTAACTCATTATGCGGTGATTATCTAATACCCATTCCAATAGGAATGAACTAAAAGAGAAGAATGTACAAAGTTTGCCCTGCAAACTATTGAAGTCCACAATCAGCATGATAAAACCTCAGGCAACATCTGCAAGAAGTATAGGAAAAAATGAATAGAAACAAAGAATCTTTGTTGCCAACGCATGTGTAAGCAAGCTGTTAAGGAGGCCAAGAATTTTAATTTGGTCTCAGGAAGCATGAAGAACTTTATGTTACTATATGCATAATAAGACCAGGAACATTACTGTTCTGCCTTTTTAAGCATACTGGAGGCAGGGGTATCTTTCGTTGCATCTCATGTGGTTCAAAACACTGGTGAACTTCTGCAAATAGGATAAACATTTAATGAATTCTTTTGGTTCACTTGTTAATTTGGTTCAAATTTGTATTTTGGAATGCATGGACAAAGGTATTTGTGGGTGATGTCATTGCAGCAGAACTTACAAATACTTTTTGTGGGTCTTATAAAAACCACATTAGAGGCTTACAGAAATTATAATTTTATTTTTCTCACATTGCTCACCATACTTTTCAACTATTCATTCAGTATATATTCTCTCTGCTGACAGTTCCTTGTTATACTGCAACAGGGGTATCTTAGCTTTATACCAGCAGCAAACTGGCAATGGTATGCCCATGTTTTGCTTTCCGTTTTATTGTTGTCTTTCTTGTGGGGCCAGAAACTCATTTATGTGGATTTGACTTGTCATTTATTAGTTTGTGGGTATTGTAAGAGGCCAGTTGTTATTTTGGTTTTAAACAATTGGAATTCAAATTAACAGTAATGTGTTCTGCATCTCCTAGAGTACTCCAAAACTTTTCTTTGATTTGTTGAAATATTATCATAAATGGCAATTTACAAAGAATATGCGGACTGTCTGATACATTGCCTTCATTATTCGATTGCAGAAGATGCTCAGCTCACTCCTGTATTACGCCTTGGAGCTGGAGCCTGTGCTGGAATAATTGCCATGTCCGCAACATACCCTATGGACATGGTTCGTGGCAGACTGACTGTGCAGGTATTTTTTTGCTCCTCAAGGATGCTTATCTCTTTGGAACTTGGGAGTGTTGAAGGTTTTCTTTGTGAATATTGGGTGGCTTCTCATGGTGTGTTTCCATTGGAATAATTGCATATTTCCTTTGACTTTTGCAGACAGAGAAGTCTCCTTATCAGTACAGAGGAATATTCCATGCTTTATCCACTGTGCTCCGAGAGGAAGGCCCACGGGCTTTGTATAAAGGCTGGCTTCCTTCTGTCATTGGTGTTGTAAGTCCTATATTTCTTGTAACTATCCTGGAACTGCTTTGTAAAGTTGTGACGATTGCATGTATGCGTGTGGAAATTCACAACTTTTAACCCATCTTTCTCCCATTCACAGAGATGCTGCCCGTGAGATTTTCTTGGAACATGTGATTGACCAATAAATATAGAGATCTTGTTTTCATAGATTATAGGAATGATATAGGAGCAGAAAGAGAACATTGAGAGAGAGAGAGAGATCAACCAAATCTGAATTTTGTTTGTCTGGACACTAATTTCGTCTTACACGAATTGAGCCTGTTTTTAGGCTCTAGACTACATTTCGTGGAAATATTCCTAAACTGATCCTACCAAAATAGAATAGGATTCAAATCATACCACCAAAGCCACGACAAGTCCGAAACAGTGTTACCAGAAAATACTAAAACCCTAGCAATTTACATTTTGGAGCACATTCTGAAACATGATACACTTTCATTCCAAAACAGTAAATTAGCGATCCAAAGCTATCCCATAATTTTTTTATGTTTTTCATTGAAAGTGGCATATCACGTTCCCATTCCTATTCCCTGTAACAAAACGATCAGCATTCTAGGTAACATAGATCCGAAAAGAAAGAAAACACACCAACATTATCTATAAGATTCCCAAATAGATCAATAAACACATTATCCTTATACGAGTCCTCATCATTTAGGCTGCATATTTCTTCTGACTATTAACTTTGCTTACAATGGAATATTCATGTCATCTTGTTAGCCATGTGCATGGACGTTATGCTCTGATTTGGTATTTGCAGATTCCATATGTGGGACTCAACTTCGCGGTGTATGAATCTTTAAAAGATTGGTTGATTAAAAGTAGACCTTTTGGACTTGTTGAAGATACTGAGTTGAGTGTGACCACACGGCTTGCCTGTGGAGCTGTTGCTGGCACTGTTGGCCAAACTGTTGCTTACCCTCTTGATGTCATTCGTCGCAGAATGCAAATGGTGGGATGGAGTAATGCTGCTTCTGTCGTCACAGGCGATGGGAGGAGCAAGGTTCCACTTGAATATACAGGCATGATTGATGCTTTCAGGAAAACTGTTCGGCATGAGGGTTTTAGAGCACTTTACAAGGGTTTGGTCCCCAATTCAGTGAAGGTCAGTCTCATATCATACCCTCTCACCTGCCATTTATTCAATCTTCATCTGACCTCCTCTGTGCTGACTGGTGCAGATGGTGGATAGATAGGAATTTTAAAAATGAGGTTATGTTGGGATTTGTCATTATTTCATTGGATTACTCTCCAAGTGATATGGTTAATGTTCTTTAAGCTGTGTTTGGATCTATGCTAGCTGGACTCTTCAAAATAAATTAAATACCCATATCTGACACCCGACATTTGGACAAGGGTGTGTGATATATGTACGATACTTTCTATTGGACAACACTATCATTATATGTATATATTGTTTTATAATTGCTACAAAATGAGTAAAATTCCTTTTTGATACTATATATTACATATAACATTTTATCTCGCATGCTCTATGAAGCACGGACACGTCCCTGAGGCCTGCATACGAGTGTCGAACACAGACATGCGTCGGACAAGCTGTGGACACGTGTCCGACACTCTCCCTTACGTGTCCCTTTTTTTGTTTGGAATTTTTCCAGTCAGACACGCAGTGGCACGTTTCAAACAAGCACGATGTGGATTGAAGAAGCCCTAAAATTGCTGGAGAGAGAGAGGGAGAGAAAGGGAAGAGCGATAGATCAAAGGAAAACAAGGATGTGCTCCAATGGTTGCTGCGAGAGAGAAATAGAGAGGAGAGGAAAGAAACCCTAACCTGTTTTGACTTGGTCTTCTTTGTTGTTCTTCTTCTTCTCTTCATCTTTTGTCTTCTTCTTCTCTTCTGATTTTGTTTCTTTTGTCTCTCCTCCCTTTTCTATCTCTTCTGCCTCCCTTCTCCCTTTTCTGTCTCCCTTTCCTTTTATTCTCTCTCCCCTCTCTTTTTTTTTCTTCTTTTTTTTTTTTTTCCTGATGTGGGATTATCAAATAAAAGTAATTATTTAAAGTTAAGAAATTTTCTTTTTTTTATTTATTATTTACATCCATGTTTTTATTAAAATTTATAAAATAAATTATTTTTATTTGAAAAAAATCAATTTTATTAAAAAAATTTAATTAATGTGTTTATTAATTTTATTATTATTGTAATTTTATAGGAACCAATGTTTTTTTTTTTTTAAATTTTAGATATATGATAAATAAATAAAATTATATATATTAAACGTGTTCCCAGCGTGTCGATTTTTGAAAATTTGCATGTCCGCGTGTCCATGTCGTGTCCCGTGTCCATGCATCGTAGCACATGATAGATCAAATATATAAAAGTACAATCTTTTTTTTATCAAGTCCGCATACCGTTACACTTGAGGTTTGACAGGTTTGACTTCTACATACACACCAGCAGCACCGGACACCCATACCCGAGTTAATGTAACATGGGTTTGAATCACGGATTTGAGCTATATTTCATTCACTTCTCTCTTCACTCGTCTTTTCCTTTCCATTAGCAAATACCTCTCTGACTTTATGATCCAATCATAGCATAACTGTCCTTTATGGGTCAATGTCTTGTAGAATTTCACTTTTTTGCCTGGCAACATACTGAGTGTCACTGGAAACATATTACAGGGCCAAAATTGGATTAGTTGGATGATTTAGGATTAAAACAACTTCTCTTAGATAGAACATGTGGGCTAGGAGTTGAGGGTGACTTACTTTCTTTGGATTAATCATTCAGAAATCTGTTTTCCAAATACTTGAATTTGAGTTAATTAGCAATGTTTAATCCTTAAATAGAATAGGTGACCTCTATTAAAACTGCAAATAAACCCGTTTTGATGATGCTCTTAACTTGATTGTTTTCAGGTTGTCCCATCCATAGCTATTGCTTTTGTGACGTATGAGCAGGTGAAGGACATCCTTGGAGTCGAGATAAGGATATCAGACTAACAGGCTGGAAACTCTGATCTCTGTTCAACAGCTGCGCTATTTTTGTAGCTAAGGGAGAGAGACATTGTAAACCAGGAGTCATGTCTCGTCTCATATTGAGAGAGGGAGAGGGAGTTTAGAGATTTGTTTGTACCAGTGTTACAATTTTTGCTCCCTCTCTTGTTTAGCTGTGTATGTTTCTTTTGAACATGCTTTATTGTCAGTAATAATAAGCATTTGTGAGGAACGACGCTACGTGGGCATTCGCCTGCCTGCCTTGCTGTTCAAGTCAAGCAGGCTTGGCAGAGGGATACTTTTTAATTGGAGAATGCAAAAATAATTTTTCAATAGCAGACTACAATACGCAGATTCTCTAATTCGTTGAATGGTGGTATCAAGTCATTGGGCATATTTGGTTGTGTTCTCATTTTCTGGCTTTGTTTGGTAATGTTTTCGTCTTCTCTTTTTTATTTTTTCATTTTATTTTTCTTTTTTGGATACCGGAAGCAGAAACTTGTTTGGTATATTATTTTTGTTATAAAACAAAAATGGAATTTGACTCTAAAATTTCAAAATTTTTGTTTAGAAAAAAAAAAATAAATAAAAAATAAAAAAACGTTTAGCTTGTGGCGGGCTCTCTGGAGATAATACGGTCACCACCTGTGAAACTCGGCCACTCTGTGATTTTTAATGACACTGACCACCAATTTCGGCAACTCACCAAGTAAGTTTTTCTATTTTTATTTTCAAAACTTACGTATACAAAAAAACCAAGAAACTTTTTGTGTGTTGTTTTATAAACAGAGACATGAAACTGGCAACATTATCAAATAAACAACACTTTTTTTGTTTTTGTTTTTGTTTTTGTTTTTGTTTTTACTTGTCCTCGTTTTAGAAACAAATATAATGAAAGACTTCAAAATACCAATCATTATAAATATTTGTGGAAGGTAGGTTTGTTCACTCAAAAAATGCCCTAGTAATTTTTACAAGGTCAATGAATGTGGTGATTAACACTTGCAGATTAACAAACTGCAATTCTCAATCACCTAGTCATACATTTATAAGAATAATAAAAAGTTAGTGTACATAGCAATTTTGGGTCTTCTTTGTTTAGATAGCCTGTTGATGCTGCTTTATCTTCTTGGATTACCTTTCTTTTCTTGCTCACATTCTTCTGCAGTGCCTGAATTAAAAATTCGAAAATTATTTTCACACAAAAATGAAAATGATGGAATTTTTCAAAAACAGATGTGTATTCATTTTCTATTCTTTGAAAAACACATAAAACTTGTTTGGCGAAGGTTTATGAAGTATGTTTTTAGAAGGAAACAAAAAATTCTGAAATTTTCAAAAGATATTTTAGCACAAAAATGAAATTGACTGTTTTCAAACTTTTCACCCCAATAGATCAGAAAAAACAAAAACAATAAATGAAAACGAAGAAAATAGAAACACATGTAAAGAGGTCTAAATTTTTTTGAAAAGGATACCAAAGAGGAGAAGTATTTATTGAAAAAATATTTTGAAACAACATAATAGTTTTATGAGGTAAACCCTAGGTATTATTAGTTAAATGAAAGTTGTAATAAAAAATAAATAACACAAAAAAATCACATGTCACATATTGTATCCTTTTGGGGAGTGTAGTTTTTATCTAAAAAGTCATTATAAGTAATTATACCACTTTCTTTTATTTTCTATACATTTTTTTGTAAAAAAATCAAAAAATTAAGTAAAATAATACCTTAATATGCCAACTAATCCATTTCAAACAAAATGATTGCTTTTTATCACAAAAATAAATGATTGCAAATATGCCAATATGGTTTACAATAAATAATAAATAGGTAAGTCATATGGTGTTGTTTGGCAAGTTGGTTTGTAGCTAAAATAGTCACAAAAGATAAAATAGACTATTTTAGCCACAAAAAATAAAACATCACATCCAACGCATAATCATTACACTCTTCTCTCACAAAAAAAAGTCAAAAAAGTCAAAAAGTCAAAAAGCCAAAAAGTCTTTCTCAAACCAAGCTTTTTAGCCCAGGCTAAAATAATCAAAAAAATCAAAAAGTCAAAAAGTCAATCCACTTCCCAAACGGAGTTAGACTTAATTTCTATTAAGTCTTATTGAAAGTTATTCCTAATAAAATTATTGCTAAAAATAATTTTTTGTTATGCTTTTTTGTCATTAAAATTTAATTAGTGACTTTTTTTGTCATGATTATTATTAATTGTTGCTAAAACTTACAATTAGTGACATTTTAATGTGACAAATTTTTCAAATAGTCACTGAAAGTTAAAAATTAGTGATTTTTTTTGTGATGATTTTTTTAAACTATCGCTAAAACATAGAATTAGTGACTTTTTTATGGCAATTTTCAAACTGTTGCTAAAAATTAACAATTGGGGACTTTTTTTAATAGTATTTTATGAAAAAATGCTATTAATTATCATTTTATGAAAAAACGCTATTAATTATCATAGGATTTGTTGAACAATAAGTTTATTTATTAAGACTTATAGGTAAGCAGGGGGAAAGGCATGTGAGGTCCAGAGGGGTAACGTGCCCCCCTCAACTTTTAGAAAATTATTCTTTTGCCTCTAGTAAAAATATATATTTCAATTTAATCCAAGTAATATCTTGAAATTTTTATATCACTATTTTCTTTACTTTTTTTATAAAAAAAAAGTTTAATTTATCACTTTAAATGTTTAATTATGCTAAAAAAAATTCTTATAAGTTTTATAGTAGATAAATGTTATATATCACTGATATTTTGTCACTGTTTTATATCACCTCTTATACAACACATAATTATTACACAATTAATGACAACTAATAATATATTGCCATGTAATTCAATTATTCAAAACGGTGAAAAAAACAAGTAATATATATGGATGTTTGGGAAGTGGATTTTTATGTAGATGTTTTTAATTGTAGGATATTATTGGATAAAAAATTTTAGTATTTGGGAAGATAAGTGTTTTTGTGGTTGGATGGGATATTTGTGAGAAAAAAAAAATGAAATGATTATGAAGTTGGATGTGATATTTTTTTTGGATTTGTTTTTTTTTTTTTTTTTTTTTTTTTGCAAAAACTGTCTTTTAGTGAAAAAAATAAAAAAAAAAAACCCAAAACCAAATCTTGCCAAACTTTGTCTTTTAATAGTCTCTGTATATTTCTTTCCATTGCAGCGGAAAAAAAAAGTCTCTGTATTTTATTTATTCATCTTTTTCTCATTTCTTTCTCTATCCTTACTATATCTCTCTCTATGTGTTTGCATCTTAATATGATTTTGTTCTCATATTTTATGAGGGTATATGTAATTATTTTTTAAACCGTGATGATCATCATATATAAAATAAATTATTAACAATAAAGATAATAATTAGTTAACTTGACCTTATATTTAAATATAACTTTTGCACCGCACTAATTTTTAGTTCTACTATCAAATAAAAATTAAGTTAAATTATGATTTTTGTTAAGATTTTAATTCAAAGGTACCCCTTTTAGCCAAAATCCTAGCTCCACCACTGCACGTAAGTCCTCCTAAATAAATTGTAGAGGATATGTTCTTGAAACTATTATTTTTCAAAAATTATTTTATGTGATCTATGCAGAAAATAAAAAATCAATCCAAAAAAAAAAAAATCCATACCTGCAATCTCTTATCTTTGTTTGAAATCTTGTTGCTCGTCGTTCTACGCCCTTGAATTCATGATTTATTCCTCTTCTTCTAGTCTGCAATCTTGATATGGTGTCCTTTTCTTCATGATACTTGTCATTCTCCTCTTTTTCTCTCTCCTCAAATTCTAGACATTCTTCTGCAGATAATGAGAAAAATGAAGTGAGGAGAATGAGGTTGAGCTCCGCTAGAAAAGATGTATTTGTTTCCAAACAAGCGTCACACTCTTGATTCTCTCCTACTTTTCTTTCATTTTCTCTCTCCTCCATCTTATTTTCTCGGTTTGTTTCCATGGCAGGTTTGGAAATGACAGATATACATTTAATTTTTAGCACCAACTTTTGTAAAATGACTATCCCTTTGAATGTGAAGAAAAGTGATAGAAAAGAAAATTTTGAATATTCATATGGTTAAAAGTATAATCAAAACTAGAAGAGGACAAGAAAATTTAGACCTCTACTTGAACCAATCAATGGCTGGTGCTAAAAAACACACTATCAATAATAGTTAATTAATTATAATCAAGAAATTATTAGCATCAAATAAAAGTAAAGTGACAAGTGTATGGTACACTAGATCATTTGCTCCAAATTAGGCACATGGTTGGCTAGTAATTGTGTTTTGACCATCAAGTTTGTTGAGCTTTTTTTTTCTTCTTAAGTTTCCCCCCTCTCAAATGCTAAATTGTTACTTGTAAAAAAGAAAAAAAAAATTAAGTACATGAAAAAACATTACATGTAATGGCAACCATAATGTCTTGCATTTGATGATGAATTAAAATATAAAAAAATTAAAGTAAATTATATTAACTTCTCTTGAGTAATGAAAATATTACTCCGTAGTCCCTTCCGAACCCATACTTGTTGCTATAGGTCTTTCTATAATTAATTTGTCAACAAATATGCGTACCCATATTTTTCCACCACGATGTGCATTTTGTGTCATTGCTTGCCGCCCTTGCTTCTATTTGTCTAAATGTGATCCGAGTGGGTTCAAGTGCTTGAAGAGCATATATATTTTCTGCAACAAATATGATTACCTCAATAAAATATTCCCTTCGTTGTTTCTCTATGTTGTTTACGGAATCTAGTTCTTTTGAGGTTATAGTTGTTAATTTTTTCTGAATTTCATCTCTATTACAAAACCGAACGTGAGAGTTTCTTCTCATCTAGCTCTTCGCGAATAAAAAATTTTTTTTATAATTTTTACAACATTTTAGTTCATACCACTAGTGAAACATATAGAAAATAATATTGTAATGCCTAATTTACCTTCATTATTCTTACTAGTGATAACCTGTGCTATGTACGAGATTTTATAAATTAAAAAAAAAATCATTATAATTATCTTGAAGTAATCTAATATTTTGTCTTGTAGTATACATGAAATTTATAAGTCAACTTTTATATTTATAACTTTTTAAATTATTAGTTTAAAAAAAATAAAAAAAATATATATAAATCTATTTAGTGCAATTTTGATAATTTGTATTAAAAAAAAGTTAAATCTGATTAAATGAGTTATGACATATCTCTTCTTGTTATGAAAATATACAAATTTAAAAATTATAATTAAGACAAATATGCAATGTTATTATTAAAGGAGAAGTGAAATGATATTTAACAATAATTAATATAATATTTCTATTATTAATCCAATAATTTAAGTTACACTTCTTTTGATTTCAATTTCATAACTAAAAATATAATATGAATATAATACACATAAATTTCTAGTCTTTAAGAATAAGAAGGTTTTAAAATATTTTCAAACTTTCATCATTTTCTTTTAATCTTTTTTTTATCTAATTTGATTTTAAATTTGAATAAAATTTTTAATTTGATATGAATTACTTTAACTTTTTCATTAAATTTTTATCAATTTAAAAAAAAATTCAAAACTTTCATTCTTATCCCAATTTTTTTTTTTCTTTTCACCAATTTTGATGGAAAAAACAATAATTTTTAACGTTTCATCTTTTTAAATTTTTATCAAATTATAATTTGATAAAAAAAATATTAAGAGTTAAAAATTCTCTTAATTGGAATTATAATGAAATAACATCTTGAAATAATCAAAGTTTGAGTATATGGTTGGTTGAAACATATAATTTAATTAATTCACTTCTCATATTTGTATAAAAATTGACACTTATGACTACATCATTATAAGTCAGATTATGGAAAAAAATTTGAGGTGTCAAACATTTTTCATTTGTAAATATCCTACATATTAATAAAAAAAAATGTTTAGCTTTTGGATATTTGTTTGTCAGTTTTGTTTTATGGACATAAACAATTGATATTTAAATTTAAAAAATTAAAAAGTAAAAAAAAAATAGATTGGGTTTTTTAGAGATAAAAGAAGCCATCTAACTCTTCTATATACTATTTAAGATGGACTATTTAATCACATAAAAAAAATAGAAATTATATTTAGAAATTATGCCTATATATTATGCTATTATATACAACTATAGTTGTAACAAATTAACTACAATATATATGAAAAGTTATATTAGGCTTTCATTTTTAATTAATTGAATTATAATTAACAAACTAACAAATAGCAGTAATAGTATAATATGATAGAAAGAGGATAAAAATAAAGAACACAATGCTATTTAAAAGTTTTAAATTTACCTAGTTATACAAAATCTAATGTTATCGTAAAATCTTGAATTCTCAACAAATTTTCACATTTTCTATAAAATAAAATGACAATAAAAAATAAAAATATTGATACCCATTTTTTTTTACTTCAATTTTATGGTCTTTATTGAAAAAAGCAAAATCTGATCAAAATCATTGGCACAAAACGGACATAGATTCTTCGATTGCAACCATAATCACCAATAATGCTTCTCCACCATGCAAACCTATAAACAAATACATAAATTTTACTAAAATCGAAACCGAAACCAAAACCAAACCAATAGCAGAGAAAGCTAATCACATAAAAAAAAAAATTTAAAAACAAATAAATTAATGGAGTGGCAGAATGTTACCTCCAATAACTTAAACCTCACCTCACCTAACCCAATCCCTTAACTCCTCCGTCAATGCCCGCTAAGCCTAGGAGTTGAGATGACTAATCAGAATATTCTTTAAATAAAACTTGAAAATTAATTAATTTATCACATTAAGTTATTTAAAATTTTGATAGATATACATCAGTAAAATAGATAATTATATTACTAAATCATAATTTAAATTTAGATATTGTCATATTTCTTTGAGATCCATATCTAAATTCTTATCTTTTTTATTTTTGTGTGGTTTCTATTTGGTTTTTTTTTTTCAATTTATTTAAGATAGAGTTGTAGGTTTCTTTTTTCTTTTTTTAAAATTTAATTTATCTGTGATTTCTATTTGTTTTTAATTATTATTATTTAAGTAAGTTATGATGTGAGTTAGATATGTAATTGACATGTGAGTTTTATTGATTTAAAGTATGATTGTGGGAGGTATTTTCAAATTAGATTTGTTTAGATAAACTTTAAGGATTTTTAAAATTTAAAATTGAATATTGAGATGCAAAAAAAAAGATTTTAACCAAATAAATAAAAATTAAATTTATTAATTTTATCTGTTTGTATACCTGATTTTTAGTTTTTTTTTTGTTATATTATAATATAATATATAAGATATAGATAGATATTCACAAGTTTCATGAAAAATATTATCTGATTTTTTGGGAAAGAGAGAAGGCAAGTTTTAATATCTTTTTTTGGAAATCGGTAAGAGGGATTAGGATAGAGAGATTGTGAAATATTTTTATTATTTTTCCATTTGAAATTCATAAATTAAGGGACAATTATTATTTCTAAAATAATTAAATAAATAAATCAGTCAATAATTTTTTTAATCTATTTTATAAATTAAAAAATCAATAATTTTAGAAAATTGATTAATTTTTCTCATTAAGTGATTTAAAATTTTGATAGATATACATAAAAAAAATAGATAATTATATTACTAAATCATAATTCAAATTTAGATATTGTCATATTTCTTTGAGATCCATATCTAAATTTTTATCTTCTTTATTTTTGTGTGGTTTTTATTTTTTATTTTTTTTCAATTTATTTTAGATGGAATTGTGAGTTTCTTTTTTTTTTAAATTTAATTTAGTTGTGGTTTCTATTTGTTTTTAATTATTATTATTTAGGTAAGTTATGATACGAGTTAAATATGTGATAGATATGTGAGTTTTATTGATTTAAAGTATGATAGTGAGAAATATTTTCAAATCAGATTTGTTTAGATAGACTTTATAGCTTTTTAAAATTTAAAATTGGATATTGAGAGGCAAAAAAAATATTTTAACTAAATAAATAAAAATTAAATTTATTAATTTTATCTGTTTGTTTATTTGATTTTTAATTTTTTTTGTTATGTTATAATATAATATATCAGATATAGATAGATACACACAACTTTCGTAAAAAATGTTATCTGATTTTTTAGAGGAGAGAAAAGGAATGCAAGTTTTAATTTTTTTTTTTTTTGAAAATATTTTTGTTATCTTCACATTTGAAATTCATAAATTAATGAATAATTATTATTTCTAAAATAATTAAATAAATAAATAAATCAGCCAATAGGTTTTTTTAATCTATTTTATAAATTAAAAAATCAATAATTTTAGAATGAGAGTTTGGAACTCTTAGGAGGCTTCTTATTAGAAGCCCTATTTTCTTTATATAATACTAGCGGTAACACGTGCGATGCACGGGTGTATATAGTTTAAAATGAATAATTTAAAAATAGGATTGCAAAATATATGATGCATTATGGTTTTAGGTTTAATATCATCCACATTGATTGTCTTATATTATTTATTTTTTATGAGATTTTGATAACTAAAAACATAAAAAGTACTTCAATTAAACAAACAAATAAATAAAAAACAACTCCAGTTAAACATCAATTGACAATTGTATTTTGCCATGATTAAAATAATATTTTATGTCAACCCACAAACAAAACAAAATAAAAGACTCAATTATTCAAGTTTCTCATCAAAAAAAAAATTAATATCAAATGTAAAAGAGAAAAATGCATTAGAATTGCATAAAGATACAAAAAAAATAAATATCACAAAAAAATATAGAAATCATAAAACTGTGTGAACCCATCACCAAAATATCCTCGAAAGATAAAATTTTAAGCGAAAAAAATATAATGAGCGCTCAATGGCCAAGTTATTACTCTAAAATTCTCAAATAAGAAAGAGTTTTTTAGTTTGGTGGGAAATTCTTTATTAGAGTGATATACACAAATAATTTTCTTATACATTTTTTTTTGTGGGTGCAATTTTGGTACATGAAAAATGTTTCAGAGCTCTAAACAATGAGCTCTAAGGGAGCTCTAATCAGTGGATCCCACCCATTGATGTGATATTTTAGCCTTCTTTTTTTTTTTTCCCTTCACTGCCAACTCATTAGAGCTGCCTTTAGAGCTCATTGTTTAGAGCTCTTTATCATTTCTGTTTGGTACATAATATCCAACATTGATGTAATAAAAAGAAATTCAAAAACTCTCTAGGCATCAAGCTTGGTATTATATTTATGATGTCACTTGGAAAAAAATTAAAATTTAGACAAAAATTGCAAACGTATGAAG